GTTTCATAGTTAAATAATGCCAATTTTGTTAATGATGTGTTATCAAATACCTTAGTTCGAAATAATTTTTGGGAAATAATCCATGTAGGATATCAATCTGATATTGGTCGGTTAACAAAAATCTAGCTTTGAACTCGCAGACATTGGATTAGAAGTATTTCGCAATTTTGTAGTTGTTGAATTTTTAAGTAACAAAGACCCGCAAATTTTAGGCAAACATGGGAATCCTTAACTAGTAGAATTAGCAGGTTTAGCATATTTGAAGAGTAAATATAGCAAGACTAAGAACATTAATTCAATAGGCATGAGTCGAGTAAAAAATGAGTTAGTATTGGAGTTCAATATTTTATTTTTATTCTTTTCGAAAAAGTATTAGTAATTAAGGTTAATTCTATTTGCCAATATTTGTGTCTAATTAATACCCATGGTTTGTTCATTTAACAAAATAGGCTTAGGATAGTTACAAGATGTTTATTTTCTTTAAAAACAAAAAAATAAAAAAATATATACTACTTGTCAATTTTGTACTTTATTTACAATTTCAATTTTGATGATGTTTATTTCTCGTCAACAATGATCGTAAATTGGTAAATAATAAACAACGGCCCGTTTAAGCATGTAAATAAATTAAGGCCTTTTCTCTTTCATTTTGTAGAGACAATTTTAATAGAAAAAAATGTAGGCACTTTAGGATTATCCTTTTAAAATAAATGAGATGAGTCTCGCCCAATAAAATGCACAAATTGCGGGGCCCTCGATAAATATTTAATTAAATTACTTAGAATTCGGATCGGCCGTTTAGCAAACTCCACGGCTTTATCCAAAAAATAATAATTACGCTAATTGCTTTAGGTGCGCATCTTAATAATCTTACCTTCTTAAACTCGGGTGTGCATTTCATGCGACCCAAATCCAAATCCCAAAAAATTGAATAAAAATGTGTTTCGGATTGCGGGTGCATTTCATGTGACGCAATCCAAAGATATATTTTTAAAACGATGTTCACATTCTTTTGAAATATAATAATAAAAGCGGCTAAGAGATAAAATTTGCACATAAGTTTATAATATGTATTATATCAGATAATCAAGCCGAATATAATAGTTGAGCGACCGTGCTAGAACCATGGAACTCGAGAATGCCTAACACCTTCTCCCGGGTTAACAGAATTCCTTATCCGGATTTCTAGTACGCAGACTGTAATACAGAGTCATTCTTTTTCCTCGATTCGGGATTAAAATTGGTGACTTGGGACACCCTAAATCTCCCAAGTGGCGACTCTGAAATAAACAAACAAATCCCGTTTCGATTGTCCTTTAATTGGAAAAAACTCCTTGTTCCCTCGCGGGGGCGGAAAAAGGAGGTGTGACAATATTGATGGCTATAAAACTTATTATAGCATTCAAAAGTTCTAAGTCCAACCTTGAAATAATACCTTAAAAGTTAAAATTATGAAAAATTTTAAAAAGTATTTATAAATTACATCACAATAAGTATATTTATATACTATTAAATATGTCAAAAATTTCTATATATGTAATATCGGGTTGGTTTGGTATCAGTTTGACTTTCTTTAGTTAAAACCAAACCAAACCAATTATGGTCGGGTTTTTTTTTCCGACACCAAACCAAATCAAACCAAACCATAGTCGAGTTTTTTTTCTTGGTTTGACTCAGATTATCGGGTTGGTGCGGTTTGTCGGTTTCCTTTGTGGAATCTAAAATTTTAATAGCAAAGTTTATGTTCTTGTTTAGATTTCTTAATTTACACTATTTGATTTTAGCTTTATTTTAAAATTGCCATTTCTTAATTTTATTTCTTTTATTTTACAATTGGTGAAAAGACATTGTTCACATTAATATAGTATAACAAATAAATGACAAAATAACAAGAGTAAAATATCAACAAACAATTATTTTACCACGTAAATAAACACGATTAAACAGCAAACATTTACAAAATAAGAAATAACAAAAAAAAAACGCAAGAATATAAAATAAACTATGTGTAGTAAAAAGCAACATAATATTTTAAATTTACTTTGTTAATAATCAATTTCCAGCGCTAGTACAAGGTGGACTTTTTTCGTGGTTAAGTGATACTTGTAGACTTATAATACCCGATCCGATAGATAGATTAGAAATTTCGAAGTGGCGAGAGAAAGAAATAAAAAAAAAAAATTTGTAATGTCAATTCTTTCTACCTTAATTATCCATTAAGAGAAATAATTACAAAAGACGAGGAATAACAATGAAAAGGAAATAAGAGGGAGAAGAGAAAAAGAAGAAGAAAAAGATAGACAAAATTATACGCTATGTCCACTGAAAACATCAGTTAATTTTTTATGCATTTAAAATATTTATTTTACCAAAAAGAATTTATTTCAATTTCAGAGTCCACATTCAAAAGTATCAAAACGCTTCGTCTAAGTTCTAACCCCGATTTTAACATTCTTTTCGATGTACCATGTTTTCTTTTTCTTTTAGTAAAAATTATTTTTTTATCATTCCTATTCCTATGTTATTTCCCTGTATAGTATCTACTTAACACTTCGTTGAAACAGAGGGAGCTAAAACCCTAAAACCATGAGACGAGCTCTTTCTTCTTTGTGCTCTCGCAATTTCCACCTCTCTCAAAACTTCAAATCAAATCTGAATTATATCAACAGCAGTGGCAGTAAAATCATACACTCCCCAGTTGTTTCTCATTTCCCTTCAAAGTTTAGATTCTTCTCATTATCAGAAAATGATTCATCGAATCAGAACGCATCTGAACCCAGCCCTCAGTCCCAGACTATCTTGGCCGAACCCACAAAGAAAGAGGTCTCTCTCAATGTTGAAGATATCAACAATAAAGGTGAGAAAACTTGTATTTTGTGATCTTCATATCTTTTTGGGGATTCAGTGGAGATTATTTGTGAAATCTGAGAAAATGGGGGTTATGGGGTTAATTTTCTCGCTGAAAAAAGTATGGACGAAATTAGTGTTTGATCTATGATGCATGTAGTATACTAGGAAACTGCATTATTTAGCGATTTTGCTGATTAATCTTTATAAAAAGAGTGATTTTTCTGGTCAATCATTAATTTAATGGATCTCTCTTGCTATGATTGATGCTGAGTTACCCGTATTTGTGTTGGTGGGATGTAGCATGTACTTGATGGGATAGTTGATATGCGTAAGCTGCACGGACACCACGAGTTATAAAAAAAAATTAATCGATGATGATTGCTGACAATAAGATATTGGAGACAATTTAAGGGATAGAATTCTGGGTTCTAGTTTAGTATCGTCTCTATGTTTGTTATTCCAATTGCAATGTCCCAGAAAAAGGAGTTATTTTTCAACTTTCATGGTGTTCTATCCAATGGATATTCCTTTAGGAGTACTTTGTTGTATAAGGTCGGGGATTATATATTTTAAATTTAAATGGGTATCTTGGTTTCATATTAAGTAATCTCGTTTGTTATATTGCTGTAGAGTTGAAGACGCGGATTGAGGAGTACTTCAACAAAGGCAATGAAGAGGCTCTTCCGTCAATTCTTGAAGCAATTTTAAAGAGGAAATTGACGAGAAAGCATGAGCATACAGATGATGAGTTAATGGAGGAGCTTCAAATGAAACCCCTGGATGATGTAAATGACCAAGAGTTTGAATCAGATTTCGAGGATGCTCACTCCACTGATGAAGAGATTGAAGATTTGTATGACACAACGGATTTAGTGAAAAGGAGAATGGCATCTGATCAATTTTTCAACATGGATGATAGAAAGTGGGATGATATGATAAAAGAGGCTACCGAGCATGGGTATCTTAAGGATACGAAGGAGTGTGAGGAAATTTTGCAGGAGATGCTTAGCTGGGATAAAATTCTACCTGGTACTACTTCTGAATGCTCTTATGACTTCTTGAAAAGTTTTTCAGATTAGGCAGGTGCATAATTTCTTTGCTCCAGTTAACAATTAAAAATAATATCTATGCTCCAATTCAGCTATCCTACTGATAATGCCGGAACTTTGATGGGCACAGGGTATGATTTCCACAACGAGTTTGATAGTTAAATAAATTTTCGTTTTCTAATTCCTTTCCCTTTAGGCTTATGAAATTGGTGTAGCTAAGAAAAGAATGGTTAAAACTCAAAGAGTTGTGGTAGAAACAATGAAAAAGTAAATTAAAATTTCTTGATTGAGCAAATTACATGTTACCTGCATAACAAAATTCTTTAACTCTTCAGTCAGTTGTATATATCCTTGGTTGCTAATTTTTTGATAGCTCGTATGAAGTTATAACCTTTATTATATTTCAGTTTCACGTAATGTTTTCTCTTTAGGACAATACCTGAACTTGTCTTTTACAGAGTGTAGAGTCAGTTTTTGGCGATCTATTTGACATCCCAATCTATTTTGTATTTGGATTCCTTGACTCATTGGATGTTTTATTTTACCCAGACGAAATTAAGAAGAAGGTGGAGGTTAAGTTTGATGAGATAGGTGAAAGGGTTGAAAAAGGTGAGATTACTCCTGAAGAAGGCTATGCATTGTTCAAGGAGTTTGAGGATGGGGTGGTCGTGGAGTGGGCAAAACTGATGGAGAAGGATGCTCCACAGTTTGATGAGAATATGTTGCCAGATAAGAACAAGAATTTGGATGACCCGCCAGGTGAAGGGCCGGTTCTTAGATGGCAAACAAGGGTGGTCTTTGCTCCTGGTGGTGATGCATGGCATCCAAAAAACAGGAAAGTCAAATTGGCTGTTACGGTGAAAGAGTTGGGTCTGTCAAAGCATCAATTTCGTCGCTTAAGAGAGTTGGTTGGAAACCGCTACCATCCTGGGAGAGACGAGCTTACAATAACTAGTGAAAGGTAAGGTCACATTGTGGGTCATCTAAATTACTTGTGTCTGATCTTGTTACGGAGTTGCTGTTACTGTATGTTTAGGCTTAGCTTCTAACTGAGTTTTATTATTTAACTACCTGTTGAAACAATTAGTTAGGAATTATTTGACTGCTGCTTATTGGTGCTCCTTTATACACACATTTGAAGTTTGTGAAGCTTACCGGGAATAAAATGTTTCTTTTTCCTCAGATTTGAACACCGCGAGGAGAATAGGAAGGACTGCCTGAGGACTCTATTTGGTCTCATTGAAGAGGCTGGAAAGGCTAACAAAATGGTAGAGGATGTTCGAACTTCATATGTGAAGCAGAGACTCAAAGCAAATCCTGCATTCATGGAAAGGCTGCGTGCAAAAACCATGAAGCTAAAAGAATCTAGCTTGCTGCATGCATGACATAAGCTCTTTCCAGCTGGCATTTTCTTGTAGAAGATAAAGGAGAGGTTATTGATGTGCCTTCTCTTTGATATTTTAGAACGTTTTTCCACATTCACAATTAGTACAGGTTTGCAAGGGCAACTCTTACATGGTCTGGTGCGAAAGAATTATCAGTTACTTTTGGTGGCATCTTCTTAAAAACAAAGTTCTTTCCTTCATTACATGGAAGCACTTCATATCTGACTTGTGCTTCTCCATTAACATCCATATATTGGCAGAAGCTCGAATTATGATAGCCCGGCCGAATAGAAAGACTGATCGCTCAACTATGCTTGCTTTTTCCTGATTTGAACTCCTTGAAATTTTGTTTCGGTGATAGCATAGGTTCAAGTTTTCAACATGCTTTATCTAGCTAGGCTTTGATAACTTTAGATACCTTCGGACAAGTGACTTGATATATGTGGTTTTACTCTTAAATCATAGAGGTAATCTTGACCTTTTAATCCAGTTTGTATGAAATTAATCTATTTGCTCTAATGTTTGAAATTCCCTGCAGAAATTAGAAGTGGAGTCTGCTCTCTCTTTTCGGATTGTCATTTGCAACAGCCAACCATCCATGAGTATTAGTTGCTGTCATGTTTGTATGTGTATGTGCCAATCACTGAAACACAAATACTAAAAGATCCAATCTTTGGGGTGAACAAATTTGTAAATGCCTGATTGTCTGTGAAATTGTTGTTAGTGAGGGCCAGAGGATATGGAAAGTAAGGGGAGCGATGAGATTGAGAAAATCAAGAGTCAAGCTGAGAAAATCAATAGTTTCTTGCCTCCTTTGCCTTATCATGGTATGTCCAATGCCAATCCCCTTGGGCCATTTGGAGAAGTTAGTAGGAAAGTTTAATGCAACCCACTCTCCCACTACTCCATATTTTAATATAGCTATATGGCGTGCACACATGTTCCTTTCATCAATATACACTTTCAAAATTGAAGTCCTCCAATTGGACTTCCATTTTCTGTTTATAGACGTGCTACAAATTATCTATTACATTCATATTCTTGTACCTAATTCCCTTTGAACTACTATATCCAAAATTGTCATCCTCCATTACTCTACAGAACCAGCATAGCTCACGGACGAACATGCTAGCATGAGGCCCTGAGCCGAAAGATAAAGATGGAATGTTTAGACTTGTATTGTCTTCCCAGTTCGATCCTCCTGCATCTATATATAAATAAATACTAGTTTATCAAGAAAAGTACTACGAATTGTTGATTAATCCTGAGAGACGGCGTAGAACCAATAGTTCATTGTCTCTCTTGATGTTACAAATATTGTTGTAGAGAAGTAGAACGTTTTGCCCAATCTCAATTTCCTCTTTTTCCCCTTTGGCGTGCTATACATTTTTATTCCATAAGTAAATTTCCAGAGACTTGACACTCTGGATAAAAAAAAATGGGTTGCAAGAAAAATCCACCCTACCTCAGCTTCACCCTTGTATATTCATGTACAATTGGGGCAGGCAGGCTTTAAATATTACATGGTTGGACATTTACTCACAAAACTAATCTATGCCTTTGCTGAATTATGGATTATATGCCTGTAACTATATGTATAAGTAAAAGGGAGAGGAAAGTGCAGTGCCCTTCTTTTGCCATGGCAGCTTGTCTTGCTGGGGCACATAGCCAGATCCGTCGTTCCAGGGCCAAGCATCCGAGCTTTCATGACCAGATGATTCTCATCATTGCTGTGTAGTTAGCATGGTTATCCCAGCGAATTTCGACTGTACATGGAAGGCCTACTAGCTGGGAGTGAAAAATCCTGTGTCATGATTTTCTGAAATTTTCAAGTGTCTTCTGCAAAAACTTTTAATATGAAGTCCCGAAAACGTTTCGAGTACTGCTTGGGATCAACTGCAGAGATTGAGGTTGGATCATATTGGAATGCTTTATATGCATGTTCCAGCTTCTTGCTTATGTCATAATTCTGTAGTATGTCAATTATACCAAAGAATAGGATGACATCATAATACTGCCCTGTGGGTTCTCCCACTAGCTGTGCCTCGAAATCGCTTCTTCTCATTGTTAATTCAGCCTTTGCTGGCATGTTGATGCCCAATCTAATGGAAGCCCACCTGCCAACACTCAAGGGAGAAAAAGAAGACTGCCTAGTCAAAATCCAGTACAAATTAGCAAAAGCAGAAAAAATTGACAAGTAAATCCCAAATGATATCCTCATAAATGTGAATTACCCTGAAGGATCAAAAAGAAGATCCATGTCAGCCCTGGAAAGTCGAGGAGTTGAACCATCACCACCCTGGTCTACATTAGCTGAAAGACGAGAAGAAATGAAAATCCTCTCCTTCATCAAGTATTCCAAACAAATGACTATGGAGAGACATACATACCAGTAGGAGTCCGAACTCCAGAACTACGCATCTCAGTTGTGACTGGTTCACCAGAACCTGAAACTTCTCGAAAGTGAACTCCAACCAAAAGACTGTAGTCCATGATTCTCTCCTGTTCAAGGAAATCACAGTCGCGGTCCACTTGCCTGTGCAACATAAAGTTCAGCCCACATAGTGAAAGGAGCAAAACTTAAGGTAAAATTAAGAATGTCATTTGACCCTGGCTTAGGCTGCAAAGGCTACATGTATACAGCTACGGATATTGATACAAAGATACAATCCTTGTACTTGTGCAGTTAATTAGAAATTATGCTGCACTATGCTGAGCTTTTTAATTTTGGAATATCAAGCATAAGTTCCAATGATTCTTCTTCTTTTAACAAGTTTTAAAAGCCACATTTTCAGGCTTTCTTTTTAGGTTCTTTTTTCTTTTTACTAAATCTAATTTAGACCTTTCAAACCAAAGGGATTAGGTACTTTGTTAATACCAAGGCACATTTTGTGTAATACTAATATTTTCAACAAACAAGCACTTGGGAAAACCATGCAGCTACAGTTGTTAGGCCTCTCTTGCGTAAAAGCCGCCTATGTACTGAAACAGCCAAATCAGACATAAAACAGAAAAAGCATCTGCTAATGGCGTAGGTCTTTTTGTTTTCTCAGCTTATCTCCTTGCTACTGGCAAGAATTATGGCATGTTCTGTCACCATTGTAGCAAAACCATGCTTTTCTTCATTTGCATAGCTATAACGTTGAAAAGGATTTCTTTTTTCTTCTTTTCAAATAAGAGAAAGGGAAAAGAGAAGTTACCTGCAGAACTCTTGGAACCAAACTTTCTGCAGCCTGAATATAAAATTGAGATCCAGGTCCTTGAGGGTAGTAGTGGACTCAATTTGAGATTCAGGTTTCTCAGTGACGCGGCCATGGGAAGAACCTTTCAAGTCAAAACGTCTGTGAATGGCATACTCAGTACAGAACAAGTTCCCCATAATGACAAAGCGAACCTGCTCAACAGTTGTTATTAAGGACAAACTCAGATGAAACAAAAGCATGAACTTGTCAAATACTATATTGAAAACCATTGTTCAATTTGTCTCATATACCTTCTTCTGAGCAGGTCCATTCACCTTCACACAATGAAGGCCAAAAAATTTAGTAACTAGAGTGTTCTCAAATGCTCGGACATGATTGTAATAAGCTGGAAGCATTCCTAGAAGAACCTGAAGTTGTGTGAATAAAGCCCCATTAAATTGTATAAATGTTCAAGTAAACTGAGAAAATTTGTGATATGATTATCCATGATGTTTCACAAAGTTGTCTTGACTAGATTGATTACTTGAAAGACATCAAATATCCCTGGTGTTAGACTTTAATTTTCATAACAGCTATATTTAGAAAATTCAAAAATATACTGAAAAGAAATTTGATGACTTAGAACTAGGTATCAGTGGAGAGGCATATCAGAATGACACTGAGCAAGTAATTTATATTTTATCTGGAGAGAAGAATGGTGTTTTTTATTTTGGTACAAACTTAAATCAAAACTATTTGAAATATCAAGAACTTAATAAAAAAAAGTATGAATCAAAGACAACCGTCTGGTGATGTGAACAGTTGGTTGTCCCAGGTACATAAGCCTTTGATTATAGGTAAGGTGTGAAATTTTTAGTTTCATATTTTTATCAAATCTATACAGTATTCAGAAAAAAGCTGACGGAGAAAAAGGTTCAGACTGCAGATTAAATTCACTTTAAGAATCGACAAGCAGAAATTTAACTCACTTTTACTTCTGACTTCTTTAAGGTCTTTATCACGTACTTGTCATCATTGGTCAAGTAAAAAAAACTTCCACTTTTTCCCGGGGATGAGAGCTCCCGAAGTGCATCATTTCCACATAGAGATATCATGTAGTCAGCTGGATCCACCTTAAACAGTTTCCTTAGGGTCCTGAAAACATAACTATTGTTAGACTTCTCTCAACTGATGTTATAATGCTGAAAGATTCTCAATGATATTCTGTTCTATGAAACAGCAATGAAATTAATTTATAAAGGAACTGTGAGTTTTGATGTCTCAATTAAGGTGCATATATGCAATGCATGGAACTGCAATATTTGTACTATGTTATGTATTTTGAGTTAACATACATAGAGGGGCAATCAACATAGTCTATTTATTTCAGAGTGTAGCGCATCAAATCAACCTGAAAACTAACGGGCAGTAATCCTTCCATTTGAAGTCAGACGACTGGTGTGGAGGAGTATGCTTGGATCCTTCTGGAGGGAACTTTGTCCAAATCTTTTCCTTGGTATCAAAAGCTGTAGCTCTAAGATCAAGTGATGTAGCTGGAGCAGGCCTTCCTACAGAATGTCTGAGATGGCACCATAAATGAGCTACAAGCAGCAACATATTGAAAAGGATATAAAGATCTAAATGCACTGCCATGAAAAATGCAAGCTGTCCTTCTTAGATACTTAAGATATATTTGTGCATCCAGTAAAGATCCCATGCTAATAAGGTAAAGATCCCAAAAAGGAATTCGTGTGTAACAGTCCAAAACCATCAGTAGGGACTTAAAGCTCTTCTATTTCTAGCTCCACTAGATTTTGCAACTAAAGATAGAAAGAGGAGGGCAAAAAGTTTTTCCACTTCTTCAGTGTCAAAGATTATAACAATCATTGAATAACTACTGAACTTGTTCTGCCAGAAAAGCTAGCAGAATTTTTATTTAACCATTGACATGCCAAACATAGCAACAACAACCATTTCAAATGCCACTTGTCAATTATATTACCATGTTTAAAGGATTTGCTCATATAGCAACATATTGAAACAAAAGCTCTAGTGAGTTATGAAAGCTTAATTGCATTCAATAATTAGTGGTAAAAATTTGAAGCACCATTTTTTAAAGACAAAAGCCTTAAGTTTTTTTTCACAACATTGATGTCTTTGTTTAATGAAAAGCATATATACCAAATAATTTTTTAGGTTACTGAGGATTAAGGTCCTTATAGTACTAGTCTGTATAGATGCTAACGAGAAAACAGTAAACTGAAAAGAATGTCAATGCAGAATTTTCTCAAATACAATGAAGATGGTACTAAAAACCACAAGGAAAA